AAGGGATTGTCTTGCCACATAAATAGGATCATTTAAACTATAAACTTTCGATCTTACTCCCTTGAGAAGAAAAAAAAGGTTTTCATATCATTTTTTTGTATGAAACTGTACTAACTTCATTTCATGCAGGAAATATTTTTTACTAATATCGAGCTATTTTAAAAAAAAATTGCTTTAAAAAATGACATTCTGATCCTTAATTTACTCGTTTTCAATTCTTCCTTAATTATTGATAAATTTATCCTTTCATATTGTTTATATGAAATTTCATAAATCATATTTCGAATAAACTTTCTCTTTTGTATCAAATGATTTCTGTAGTATTTTTATATACTAAAAAAAGAAGGGATCTAAACTAACATCAGAACAGTAGGCCAGCATCCAAGATTTCGTGGCCAAAATTAGCAATTCAATGAAATTTGTTTCAAAATTTGGGGCTTTTTTGTGCAGGTAAATTGAATTCACAGTTGAAATTTTGAAATACACTAAAAATACCAACAAAAATAAAATGGCGACTGAAATATGGCGAGCAAAAATGAAAATAAATAATATAGCAAGTTTAAATAATTAAATATAGCAATGAAAATATTATAACTTTCGTAATTTTATATTAAAAATGAAAAGCAAATTATATTTCCGAAGTAATATTACAAAATAACGCGAAAACATGAAAAAAAAAACATAATTTTTGTTTTTCTGTATATTTTGTTCACCTTTGCAGTATGAGCAAAATGGGGCTGGTTTTTTCGAAAGAAGAAACATCAAAGAAGACAACAAAAAAAAGTTTAGCTAATAACCTTGTGAAACTTTTTGGAACGAACTAAGTTTTGAAAGTTATTCAAACATTGTAAAATGTCAAATGATAAGATATAAGGTATAAGTTTGTCAAGAGTACTAACTAATCCAACAAATTGAAAATTTGTACTATAATTTCAAGCCTTTAAGTCTGATAAAAATGTAACAGTAAGGTGAAATTCTTATATATATATTTCTGAAATATAAATTTAAAAGTTACATTAAAAAAAATTTTAACATATTTTTTCCTACATTGACTTTACTATTTGTCTGTACAAAAAGTAAATTTCAATGTTTGGAATGATTATGAATACTTAATTTGGGCTATATTAAAACTGCCTACACATATTTTAGTCGAAAATTTAATTTTGAAAATTAATTAGAGCGTATGAAAAAAAAATATATACGTATAAATGAGGGTTTCCGGTATTTGATCTGTGTCAAGGGTCTGCTCTCGCAAATCTAAAAGCCACTTATAACTATCTGATTTTCGTTTCTATTTCTTATTCATCGTCCAAACTGACATATAAATGTGACTGCAAAAGCAGTAAGAGCAGCACTCTAGCTCATTTGCAGAAACTTTAGCGAGAGCCTGTCGACATAATCCTTTACTAGATAAATAATGTCAGTACCCAGAGGACAAGTAACCTTACGGCAATCTTGTGGTGGAATTTTCATCTAAATGTCACGAAAATGATTGTATTAAAAACCTTTTTTCAATAAAACAAAAAATATTGCAGTTTCAAGCCCTTCAGGATTAAGAATAATATTTTTTAAAGTTTTTTTTAAATCTTAGGTCCATCATAACACTTTAGCTGACATCACACTAGCGAAAGGATGAAATTGCATTGTCCATTAAAATTTCATGGCAGGGTGGATTCCAGCTGAGCATAAAAGACTTTGCAAAACGAAACTTTGTAATGACCTAGATTTAATATTATTTTCACCTTAAGACTAGTTTTATTAAAGGATGTTTTCAAGCTAGAAAACATTAGGTCAACCTAGCTTTAAGGTTTTTATATCGAAGAATGTTTTACAAGGTTTCGGATTAGGGTAATGTGCGTGGAACAGACCAGATGGTCTCTGATCTCGTCTTAAGAATACAAGGCTTANCTAGAAAACATTAGGTCAACCTAGCTTTAAGGTTTTTATATCGAACAATGTTTTTACAAGGTTTCGGATTAGGGTAATGTGCGTGGAACAGACCAGATGGTCTCTGATCTCGTCTTAAGAATACAAGGCTTACTAGTAAACCACCTAACAAACCTTCTTAGGTTTACATTAAAAGGGTTTTGGTGAGTGAAAATAAACCTTATTTTGCTATCTGGAATGTTCGGGAGCGAAGTAATGAACAGATTCGGAACTGTCAAATATTTTAAACTACAGATAAAGTTTTATTTACCGCAATTTGATTCGTCACTCTTATCTCTACAGTTAGTTCTTCCATTACATACTTGTGATTTCGGGATGCATTTCCCGCTTCTACATCGAAAATCGGTTTCTAAGTCACATGTACGGCAATCGCTTTCGTCACTGCCATCTGCACAGTCATACAATCCATCACATACATTTAATTTAGAGATGCATTGCCCGCTTCTACATCGAAAGTCGGTTTCTAAGTCACATGCACGGCAATCGCTTTCGTCACTGCCATCTGCACAGTCATACAATCCATCACATACATTTAATTTAGAGATGCATTGCCCGCTTCTACATCGAAAGTCGGTTTCTAAGTCACATGCACGGCAATCGCTTTCGTCACTGCCATCTGCACAGTCATACAATCCATCACATACATTTAATTTAGAGATGCATTGCCCGCTTCTACATCGAAAGTCGGTTTCTAAGTCACATGCACGGCAATCGCTTTCGTCACTGCCATCTGCACAGTCATACAANTAAAAATGAGAAGCAAAATATATTTCCGAAGTGATATTACAAAAAAACGCGAAAACGTTCTGTATATTTAGTTCACCATTGCAATAGGGGCAAAATGGGGCAGGTTTTTTCGAAAGAAGAAACATCAAAGAAGACAACAAAAAATAGTTTAGATAGTTACCTCGTGGAACTTTTTGGAACTAAGTTTTGAAAGTCATTCAAACGTTGTAAAATGTCAAGTGATAAGATATAGCAGATGGTCTCAGATCTCGTTTTAAGTTTAGAAGGCTTACCAGTAAATCACATAACAAACCTTTTCAGCTTTACATTAAAAGGGTTTTGGTGAGTGAAAATAAACCTTATTGTGCTATCTGGGTCTGGGATTTTCGGGAGCGAAGTAATAAACAGATTCGGAACTTTCAAATATTTTAAAATGCAGATAAAGTTTTATTTACCGCAATTTGATTCGTCACTCTTATCTCTACAGTCATAATTTCCGTCGCATGCTTGTGATTTCGGGATGCATTGCCCGCTTCTACATCGAAAGTCTGTTTCTAAGTCACATGCAAGGCAATCGCTTTCGTCACTGTCATCTGCACAGTCATATATTCCATCACATACGATGGCTTTATAGATGCATTGCCCGCTTCTACATCGAAAGTGGTATTCTGAGTGACAAACTCTGGAATGACAATCGCGTTCGTCACTGTTATCTTCGCAATCTTCCTCTCCGTCGCAAACATGCTTATCACTGATACAATTTCCATCGTCGCATTGAAATTCGAACAAAGAACAATCTGTAACAAAAAAAAAATAAAAATAAATAAATTCTTTAAAATAAATATAGATTTCAGTTACTGAGGCTAATAACAGGTACAGGAATCAAAACGTTTGATTTTTCAAAAATAAAATTCTTACTTTTTATTATTTATCATTTATTTTCGATGGAAATAAATCCGTTAGCTTGCTCCTCTTCTTATAGTTCGCTTTCTTTTTTCCCCTTTCATGAAATTGTACTAAGTTCATTTCGTGCAAGAGACATTTTTACTAATATCTAGTTTTTTTACATATAAAAAAATAACTTTAAAAAATGACATTTTGACGTTATTTTTCCAGTTTTCAACTCTTCCTTAATTATTGATCAATTTTCTCGTTTTTATTGTTTATAGGAAATTTAATGTAGTATATTTTGTATAAACGTTCTTTTTTGTATCCAATGATTTCTGCCGTATTGTAGTGTATCTACCACTACAAATATACAATTCCAATTCATTAGTTTGTAAGAAATGTTAACTCGATTCTATGATGGGCTACCTAATTCTCATAGATGAAGTTTAACATTGTTGTTATCTACACTACCTCCACGTAAGTAACTTTCGGATCTGATGTGAACTCGCCTACCTTATCAAATATTCCCATTCGATCTGAACACGCCATTATTGACAGTAATGCCCACTTCGATCTGAACATGCCAGCTTCGATGGGTGGTCCACATTGAAAATTGACTTGTGTCTGTCACATTATCCAACTGCTCGGGTTGTTGTCACTCAGTCACACAACGTCGGCCTGCATACACTTGACTGCTAATGGCAACCGTGAACTTAATACAGATCTCACGATCAGCAAAAAGTACGGTGATCTTAATACGGCTCTACCGGCTTCTCACAAAACAGCAATGAATCAACTAGCGGTGCCTGTTCATTGAATTCCATTACATATATAATTCTGGTGGGGGAGTACTGTAATGTATCTACCACCACAAAAATACAATTCTAATTCATTAGTATATAAATCATGTTAACTCGAATCTGTAACAGGGTACCTTTTCTTAGATGAAGGTTAATATTGTCTGAAACCTCCACAGTATTTTTATATACTAAAAAATAAGGGAACTTAACTAACTTTAAAAAGGGAATACGCGCACTGCCAAACTCGTCTCAAGTTGGATTTTTAATGTTTCTCAGATTCCCTTCCGTAACCCTTTGACGCAGAATTTTAATAAAAAAAATATATTTTTCACTATTTTTTGTTAATTTAGATCAAAACAATTAAAATATTTTCATATCGTTTTTGTTTGAAATTGTACTAAGTTCATTTCATGCTGGAAATATTTTTTACTAATATCTGGTTATTTTACATGTAAAAAAAATTACTTTAAAAAAATGACATTTTGACGTTATTTTATCCGTTTTCAACTCTTCCTTAATTTTGATCAATTTATCCGTTTTTATCGTTTATAGGAAATTTAATGCAGCATATATTGTATCTAATGATTTCTGTAGTATTTTTATATACTAAAAAAAGAAGGGAACTAAACTTACCTCAGAGAGGATTTTTTATGTTTCTCAGATTCCTTTCTGTAACACTTTAAAGCAGAATTTTCATAAAAAATATTTTTCGTTACTTTGTACTAATTTAGGTCAAAATAAGTGTTGTTGTTGTTGAAGTTAATTTACGTCGCACTAGAGCTCCACGATGGGCTATTGGCGACGGTCTGGGAAACACCCCTGAGGATGATCCGAAGACATACCATCACAATTTTGATCCTCTGCAGAGGGCATGGCTCCTCTGCTTCGGTAGCCCGACGACCTGCACGCGAAGTCGAGGAATTTAACGTAGAACAGTTTAGCAAGGACCAATGCCGCACACCCTCGGTCCCTACGTAGACTGATCCAAGTGGTCACCCACCCGCACACTGACCGTAACCAGTGATGCCTGCTGGGAACCGCGTCTTAACGATCAGTCCACTGCGGGACGTCAGAATAAGTGAAAAATATTATATTTAGCAATTTTATAATACATAGTTATGAAATACAGAATGAAACGCCGGTGTATTTTTCTGAGAATCTTCCAAACACAGCTCACTTCCAATGATTTTTCAAATTCTTACTTATTTGCTATGACTTGACTCTGAAAGAAATAGTTATTCAACATAGAAATTTCTTTAGTTTTAAAAAGTCAATTATTGATAAATGTTTGAAAATGAATGAAAAAAATGAATACTACTCATTTCTGTTTTTATATTTTAGGACGAATATAATTCCGATAATCTGATGGATTTTTTTTTAGTAATGGATTGACTGTTTTTTAAGTAAAAAATATAAAAATATATTTTTACTTGTCATATGAGATTCTGAATTTTTTTATATATATAAATGAGGGTCACCAGTATTCCATCTGCGTCAAGGGTCCGTCGCACCAAATCTAAAAATATTTGATTTTCGTTTCCATTTTTTGTCCATCGCCCAAACTGACATAATGAATGTGACTGCAAAAACATTAAGAGCAGCACTCTAGCTCATTTGCAGAAACTTTAGTGAGAGCCTGTCGGCATAATCGTTTACTAGATAAGTTATGTCAGTACCCAGAAAGCATGTAACCTGTCGAAATTTCATCTTATTGTCACGAAAATTTTTGAACTAAAAACCTTTTTTAAGTAAAGTAAAAATACTGCAGTTTCAAACCTTTTATCCTAAAAGGATTAAAAATTTTTTTAAAGCTTTTTTAATAAGGATTTTCACTTAGGTGAAAAGGTCACTAAGGTCCAGAAGGAAGTTTTAGGTGACGTCACACTAGTGATAGGATCAAATGGCATTGTGCAATAAAAATTCGTGACACGGGGGATTTTTATCTGAGCATACAAGATTTCGCGAAAAGAAACATTATGATGACCTAGATTTATAATTATTTTTACCTTGAGACTAGCTTTATTAAAGGATTTTTTTCACGCTGGCAAACCCTTAGACAACCTCGATTTAAGGTTTTTATATAAAAGGTTGTTTTCCAAAGTTTTGGATCAGGATAATGTGCGTAGAATAGAGCAGGTTGTCACAGATCTCGTTTCAAGGTTAGAAAGTTTACATGTTAACCGCATTACAAACCTTATGAGGTTTACATAAAAAGGATTTTGCTTAGTGGAAATAAACCTTACTTTGCAACCTGGGAATCCGACTTGCTAAAGCATGTATTGGAGGTGCGTTCTCGATGAATTTCAACATTTTCTGACCGTTAAAAGCAGAATTTATCATGAAATTTTCATGACAACCAATTTTGACCAGACAGCGAAAATAGTTCAAATTTGAACTGGTGTTCTGTGCTAGTTGAATAGGCTTGCTTCATTCTTTCTTTCACTTGCAGGCGGAATTGAGAGCGCCATTTTTGTCTCCAAATAGAATTTATCGTCAATCGTAATTTCGACAAAATTTCTAGCGAGGGTCCTTAAATTTCTAACTGATCACGAAGCGAATGCTAGTTGCATTTGTTTTCTACATTATACAAGCGAACTTTATAGCCCTTTTTTTCGCCAATCAGAATTTTGACAGTTTTTGCTTTATCGGCAATCGGTTGCTTAAACAGACATTAACTAAAAAGAATGAAAAGAAAGAAAGAGAAAGTAAACATGTGAAAAAAATTATTATAAAAAAACTAAAAAGAAAGAAAAGAAAAGAAAAAAGGAAAGAAGAGAAGAAAATAAAGCGGAAAAGAAACTAAAAATTTTAAAACAGAATGTTAAAATTAAAAATAAATATTTTTTAATTTTAAACATTCTAAAATGCTAAGAAGAAAGAAAAAAAAAGAAAGAGAAGAAAAAAGAAAGAAAAGTAAAGAACGCAAAAATATAAAACACATTTTTCTTAAGAGTCTAAAAAGGGGTAATAAATCTATTTTTAACAGACAAAAAAAGAAAGAAGTTGGGTGCACTTTCATAATAGCCGTGTGAGACAACGTGTCCAATAAATTGCAACGTGATCAAATTGGTTAATTTTATTACATAAAAGACAAGGAAAAAAAGAAGAAACATATTTTAAGACATTTTTTATGTTTGTATGTCTTTACACTATATAAAATTTTAATTCAATAATGTCATTGGTCAGAATTTCTAATGAATTCAAGCAATATTCAAGCAATCTTTCGGGCAGTTTCATGGCATGGAAACACCTTAGTATTGAGTTGAGCTTCGCGATCAAAATGTGAAGAAAAATAATCATAAAAGTTCTAAAACTAAAATGAATCATTTTCATGTAATAATTAAACATGACTAAAAAATAAGGAAGTTAATTTTTTGAATTTCAAAAAAAAAAACTTTTATCGCATTTATGAATTTACTTTGCCTGAGGTACAGTATTTAAGTAAAAATCGCCTTTTCTCCTATTATTTAGCCCTTTATAAGGCTTTGTTAAGTATACTAACATCAAATTTTAAATAAAAATAGGAAACCAAGATTTGTTCGACCATCTACAGATAAATTCAGGGAATACAAAGAAGGGTTTTCTTTTACATTAATGCGAGTAACAATAAAGGTTAGAGTAAGATCAAGAGGTCAACATTATAGAGAGCTACTTTCTCCTGTACCTTATGCGCCGTTCTTTCAACGTCCAAATTTACTGCCACCTCTTTTTAGTAGAAAAAGTTTTAAATTCCACCACCCAAAGAAAACAGTTTTAAAAATCAAATTAGCTTTTGGGTAATAAACTATATTAATTTTATTTAATAAGTCAATCACAATCCCAAAAATATTTAATCATAACATAAACTCGAAACAAATGGCAGTATAAAGGTTTATTGAATCTCAGGTCTATCACTACCGAAAACTCCTCCATGTCTTTCAAATTGATGGGACCAGGGCCTGATTATCGCCTAGGCCCAATACCAAGGGCCCACACTTTCTGGCGGGGGGGGGGGCTCAAAAATTAGTAAAAAGTCCACAATATGACTATTTTTTTAAAAACTGAAAGAAACAGTTTTTTTTTCAAAAAATGCACTTTTTTAAAATATTTTTTTATATTGTGATAAACCAAACTCGTGTCAACATTATACTAATCAAATTCGAAAGTGCAGCTGAATTTGAATTGGTGCAATTTTTACGTCAACGGCTTAAGTGAATGCACTGAATATGCACTTTAATTTTTTAAAAGTGTAATATTTAAATAAACTCTTATTTAAATGTGTTTCATATTTTCTATGACTACTACAAATTTTGCTCTTTAGAATATTTTTTGCGTGCATTTTTTAATAAAAATTATAAGTAATAACCTTAATATCTTAGCATACATGCAGAACGTATCGTTAAATCTAATGAAAAGTCGGATAGCTTTGTGTTGGTTTAAGTACTAAATAAAAAGAATAATTGCAGCTTACTATAAAAAATAATTCTACTTTTAGAAAAAATCACTGATTTTCAATTGTTTGTGGTCACTAAACTATTTTTATTTTGACATAACATTGTTTCGTTGTTTTATATTTTGCTTCAATATATAGATACGAGAACTTTATCTTAGAAAAATGATCTTCAATCGTCTGCTTTCAAAATTTTTTAGAATGTTTCTCTTGAATCATACAGTTGAATAGATTATTTTTTATTATTAGGACTACTCTTTAAAAAATTAATTTCAAAATATTTCGTAAGCGGCCCGGAAAATTTGGTGGGCATTGGTCCTGAATTTGTTTTGATCTGTCCCTGTATGGGGCATACGCTATTCATTTTTAAACAGCAAAAAATTATTTTATTTTCACCCAAGTCCACTTCAAAAACATTTTTAAAACATATGTTTTAATATTTAAATATAAATCAAACGTGAAAGTAGCTTACCTGGCGCTGATGAAACTACAACGAAGATTAACAAAGCAATTATTATGTGTGGAATCATTGTATATAGTTGATCGGACAACTTACAATTGAGTTAATATTTTAAAAATAGCAAATAATGATTTGCCTTAACAAGCATTAAATGAGGAAGTCCACAAAGAATTATATCAGGAACCGGAAAACAATTAAAATGTTTTGATAAAAGACTCTTAACAAACAAAGAAAAGTTTAACTACTTATACGTCTAATCTCACCAAAATTCTATTTTTTTCTACAGCAAGTTGAGTGATTGGGAGTTTATTACACTAGATTGCCGAAGGAAGTCATTTTATCTGCTATTTCATTTGCAAAAAAAGTACAAATAGTAATGCAAATTTCTTTTGAAGCGAAGTAATTTTTTTTATTATTCATATTTACTAATAAATTTTTATATCACTGTAAATAATGTTAAAAAAAATATTAAAAAGTAATTTGAATTCTTTTTTCACACATTAATTGTTCCTTCACAATTCAGTCATTTTGATTGCTTTTGGGCAATATAGGTATATACTAAGTTTCAGTCTTTCTAGTGTTTATGAAGACTAAATCACATGATAAATATTTAAAAAAAAATTCATTAATATCAAACTGTACAATGTCTTTCAAATTGATGGGACCAGGGCTGATTATCGCCTAGGCCCAATACCAAGGGCCCACACTTTCTGGGGGGGGGGGGGCTCAANTTTAAAAACTGAAAGAAACAGTTTTTTTTCTTAAAAAAATGTACTTTTTTAAAAAATTGTTTTTATATTGTGATAAACCAAACTAGTGTCAACATTATACTAATCAAATTCGAAAGTGCAGCTGAATTTTAATTGGTGCAATTTTTACGTCAACAGCTAAAGCAAATGCACCGAATATGCACTTTAATTTTTAAAAAGTGTCATATTTAAATAAACTCTTATTTAAATGTGTTTCATATTTTCTATGACTACTATAAATTTGGCTCTTTTGAATATTTTTTGTGTGCATTTTTTAATAAAAATTATAAGTAATAACCTTAATATTTCAGCATACATGCAGAACGTATCGTTAAATCTAATGAAAAGTCGGCTAGCTTTGTGTTGGTTTAAGTACAAAATAAAAAAAATAATTACAGCTTACTATAAGAAATAATTCTACTTTTAGCAAAAATCACTGATTTTCATATGTTTGTGGTCACCAAACTGTTTTTGTTTTGACATAACATTGTTTTGTTGCTTTATATTTTACTTCAATATATAGATACGAATATCTCTGGACCTTTCATATCGCTAAGCGCGATAAAATAAAAATAAATGATAAATTCGAAATAGGAAGCAGTATCCGTTTTAAAACAAGGGCATACTCATTTCCGAAGTTAATTAACGGACGTAATTAAAATACTGAAAGTTCTTATCGCATTTTAAATTCTTTTTTCCTTCATTAAATAGGAAAAAAAACTTTAACTAGGTCAATTATAAACTGACACGATAATTTATAGCGCCAAATTAAAAAGATTTATTGCAAACACGACATCGAATGCTTCAGAAACTCATACCATCAAAGATGAAACAAAATAGCCGAAATACCTCTATGGCAAACAATAGACGCAGCCTTGTAAATGTACCCTCAGAAAATTGGTTCAGCGCAAAATCTTAATCTAAGTCAATGGAACCATAATACGGAGCAAATTCATTGCAATTTGTTAATAATATGTAAAAATGAACCATGCTTCGCTGTTAAATTTTAATTTCCTGCGATCATGCATAAGATGTTTAAGTTTGCACAACAATATGGTTCACCAAACCTCGCATTAGAGTTGTAGCCAGTTTGCACAATAGTGTGGCTCAAAGCGTTCCCAAAGTTTCTAACTAAGTTTAGATAATTATTAGTTATCGTAAGGGCCGCTGTTTCGGGTGCAACAACCATTTTGCTTTGCTGCGCACGATATATAAGACTTAAAAACATTATTCGATTGAGACTTATCAGCTATGTTATGTTTGTATAAACTTTAGCATCCAAAATAGAGTCTCGATGCTGCCATCTTGGGTGGCAGAAACTAGACGTTCAAATCAACATGACCAACGGTTTCTCACCCATTGTGGTGGTTCTGAAAGAGTGGATACCACCTCTGGAGAACGCACTAGGTCTGCTCATCGGCAAGATCTATTGTGCAGCTCATTGGAAATAAATTTTTTTTATATAAACTATGTTAAGACAGAACTTGAAGTCAAAAGAAAAAAAAACTATCTTGACCTATCTACTTCCCACTAAAATGCAATGACAGAGATTTGATATGCTGAATGCGCCATTTTCAATTATCGAAATCAGAAATCATTATTTTGTAACCTCGCGTTTTATTTAATGTCAAAAGTAACAAAACAAGACGGATGAAAGAGGGAAAAGAAACGATGAAAAGCGATCACGTGTTGCTAGATCATGATTATCAAAATTTCAAAAAATATAAATGTCTCGATTGCAAAAATATCATTTGCAAATAGAACTGTTATGCAAGATAAGGTCATATCTTTATAGACTGTTAGCGGGGAATTTATATTTCATTTATTACTTCTTAATGCGTCACGCATTCTATAATCTTAAGCTTCAAGTTTTATTTATTTATTATTTTTTCTTCAACTGCAATTGATTTTTTTTTCTAATGCAACAAATCGTTCATTTTGTTACGATTAGCAAATTAAGAAAATGTTCTTACAATTGATTATAATATTTATGTATTTATACACGAGACGATCTTTTTCCCCCCTGTAAAGTATAGACTTTTATGAGGAAAAAACTAAGATAACAGCGAAGTTACACTGGGGAGTCCACGTGCGAAGCGAGCAGATTTGGAGCTTCCANTTAAAATAAAGTTCTAAATATTTGCGGCAAATAATTCCCAATTCTAAATTTCATTGTTTGGAGAAACGTTGTTTTGAAAGCCCATAATACTGAAATAAGATAATAAAGTATGTAAAAAAAAAAGAAAAAGGTTTGCGAATGAGAAAGAGCAAGCAGCCTAGTAGCAAAGTAAGTAAAAATGGATGAAGCATCCTAGGATCGGAAAATAAAATTATGTTGCATCTATGACATAAACAGCATAAGCCAAGCTGTTAGTAGTGAAATTAAATGTTTAATTATATAACCACGTGTGATTCACAGAACTATCCAACTAATTGTATTATTATATCTTTTACTCTTTCTTTTTGTTACCATGCAGATTTTTTTCCGGATAATATACTTAACTATTGTGCTTAATTTTTAACTTTAGCATGATTCCCAAAATATTATTGTAGTATAATTTGTTTTGGAGAAAATGTCTTATTAAGCAGGAAATACTGAAAATAGAAATTTGTAAGAAGATTCCGATACCGTGCCAATTTTAGAATCATCTGATTTTCTAAAAAAATGCAATGAAAAATACGTAATTTCCAAGCTCATTTTGATAAAGAAAAAAAAATGCGGCAAAAAGACTAACATACTATTTAAACAAACTGTGAAAACCAATTTCTCCTATATTTCGTCAAATGTCTTATTTTGTTAAGCAGGAAATACTAAAAATTGAATTTTGTAAGAAGATTCCGAAACCGCGCCAATTTTAGAATCGTCTGATTTTCTAAAAAAATGCAATGAAAAAATTTAAGATTATTTTTACCTTAAGACTAGTTTCATTAAAGGTTTCTTTTTTAAGCTTGAAAGCCCTAAGTCAATTTCGGTTTAAGGTTTATATACAGAAGATTGTTTTCCAAGGTTCTGGATTAGGGTAATGTGCGCAGAATAGAGCGAGTGGTCTCAGATCTCGTTTCAGTTTCGAAGGTTTACACGTAAACCACATAACAAACTTTTTTAGGTTTACATTAAAAGGGTTTTGCTATGTAAAAGTAAACCTTATTTTGCTATCTGGGATTGAACTGCATGTATTGACAGAAATGTATCCACCCTCCATTTTTACACGCGTCTGGTATGCTCAAAACAATACTTGAAAAGCCTCCATCATTTAAAGTTAAACGAAGTCAATGTGAGGACAAGTAAGAAAAGAGTTGTACCAAGTTTGTGCATCGCTTCAACTCCCAGAGCTTTGTTATCTTAAGGGTATTCAACTTGTATTTTAAGGATTCAAACCAAATTTCTTAACCCAAAAATATCTACTTGTTAATGAATTATTCTCAATTCCAGACACTCTGGGGCAATTACTTTAATAATTTTAGTTATCATCAATGCTATGCTAACCTGACATGCAGAAATATTATAAAATATGTTTATCTTTTAATTCTACTTTTAACTGTCACTTTTAATAATTTAATGTTTCAGTGTTGCTTGGGAATTTCACAACTTTAATTCTAATTGATTTTAACAATCCCTTTAACTATTGATTGCATATTTTACCTTTGCAATTTTAATTGTATGAGTACTTT